AAATTTTTCTGTCCAAACCCGGCGAAAATAATGAGAAGACTTTATTCCTCACTTCTCGTAAAGTGGTAAATTTAAAGTGCAGCATCTCATCCACATTATCCATAGAAATTGTTGTCTGTAAATAATGACATCCAGTCCATAAAACATCGCTGTAATCCAGTTTGAGGCGTTATTTAAAAATAAAAATGCGAAAGTAGTTCACGTGTATCTGTTTACATTCACACAGCACACAGGATCGAGGTGAAGTTACAGATTAGTCCAATGAGATTCATTTGGTCTTCCGATATTTTATGTTATTAGGTTCTTTTTTCAGACCTAGAGTTTTGTTTCGTACATGACAGTTTGGACTGCTCACATGCGGTCTTCCTCAGAGTGGTCACGTGATGTTGCTGTGACGTGTCTGGTCAGATGATTTATACAGGTTTTGGTGCTGTCTTCCTACCGGTGGAGGCAGGACGACAGCGCCATCTGCAGTCCCACTTTCTCAGGACAATATCCCAGGTGTGTGAGAGTAAAAAAGCCCCCTCGTCCCGGTTTATAGTCCTGTAGGCACGTTTCCGTATTTCGATTGCCTCTTTAATCCAGCGACGGTGTTTGTTTTCCTCTGTCCCAGTTCACGAAAAAAGGAACATAGAACAGAAAGCAAGAAGGAAACAGCGAAGGCGTGCACACGAGCAACAAAACACAAAGCAGAACAGGAACAACTCAAATCTGCCATTTCTGACCATTGTAAAAGAGAGAACCACATTATGGACTGGGATGGAACAAACATCATTGGGACAGAGGAAAACAAACACCGTCGCTGGATTAAAGAGGCAATCGGAATACGGAAACATGCCTGCAGGACTATAAACCGGGACAAGGGGGCTTTTTGACTCTCACACACCTGGGATACTGTCCTGAGGAAGTCGGACTGTAGATGGCGCTGTCGTCCTGCCTCCACCGGTAGGAAGACAGCACCAAAACCTGTTTAAATCAGCTGACCGGACATGTCACAGCAACATCACGTGACCACTCTGAGGAAGACTGATAGTGAGCAGTCCAAACTGTCAGATATGAAACAAAACTCTAGGTCTGAAAAAAGAACCTAATAACATAAGTTACAGATTATCCTGTGTACTTTATCTCCAATCTTTTATGCTTTAAAAATCACATATCTGAAGTATTGCCCCACATTTTCCAACACAGTTTTGACTTGTATCTAAACTAGAAATACAGTGCTCCGATCTTTGAACACTTAAGACTCTCAAAGTGAGTTTTACTGTAGACAGGAAACAGCTGGCACGCTGATGTGTCCGAGTCCAACTCGAGCCCGAACATATGCTCACTTTTGCTCAAAAATACAATAATTCCTTCTGTGCTCAGGGGCAACTCTCCACAGATCTGACCTGTAATGTAGGGTAGTGGTGTAACCTACTTGTCTCCATCGTGATAAATAGGTTAGGAATATTCTAGACAATGCAGTAACCTTTCCATGGAGACAAGCAGTTGATGGTAGCCTAATTCATCAGCCAGTTTCACTTTGTGGAAACCGTCTGACCTCGCAGCGTTAGAATTTGTTCGCTTAACGGTAGGCAGGTACTTTTTTTATTTAACCAATCGCTGCTATTTGGTCGTGACGTTTGTAATGCTCCAAATCCCGTAGGAAGAAGGGCAATAACGTCTTTCCCCTTGATAAAATTCAGCAAACATTCTCTTTGTTCTGGCTTTAAATCCTCGATTTCAGGAATCATTGCCAACACAGAATGTCTGTCTTCGTCTACATCCATCTCGACCGCTTTGTTTGCTGTTCCACAAAATGGACCATGACGGGCGCTTGAGTTTGACGTCATGACTTCACAGCTCTTCGCTGATTGGCCAGTGTGCGGTCTACAACTTCCGGAGTTCTTACAAACCGTCTAGTGTTTTCCAATTTCTGACCTAGTCGCTAGAAAGAATTTAAATTGAGTGGAGGTACTAGGTGGCACCAGCCTGATTAAGTTGACGAACCCTCCACCAGAAATGTGTAACTTTTCTGGTTTATTTCACATTTATTGAATGTGATTTTCAACATTATTTCCTAGTACTTTCTTTTATATTACTTGTTCTGATACAGGTCAAGATCATTCCGAAAAGGTTCATTTCTGGCCTGAGTTTGCCTTTTTTTAGTATCAGTACCTGCTCCAAAGAGTATCTTCTTTAAATATCAGTTAATATCAGATTTTTGATACTTTTGGCAACCCTAGTGGGAGATACGTATCGAATCATGTGTTATAAACCTGTGAAAATGCTTCTCTTTTCTCAAACGCCAAAAGCCGACGGTCCCTATAGAACGCACAGAGCTGAAATGTGTTTTGGAGCTCATTGAATTTATTGTTATATCAAATCTCCATCTTGAGTTTAGATTTCTCAGCACATCCATAACTTTCCTCCCAGTCCCGAGGCTTTTCTGATGGAGAATTGTGTTTTTTTTTATATTCACCCCCTGCATTCATAGCTTTTGTAATCTCAGACAGAAATATAGTATGAAAAATGACCAGACACGGACCGTCCTGGATTTATTAATCACGGTTGTCTTTGTTCATTTCAAAGATCTGTTCAAAAGATGTCATTTTATATTTTATAACCCAGACAATTCATTTTATTAAAAAACTATCAGAGGATTGAGGATTTAAAAACATTCTTACTGATAGCGGCTTCGTTTGGTTTTATTTTGATGGCGTTGCCTGCTTGTTGCCATGGAGATGGGTACATTTAATCAATCAATCCATATAATGCCATCTATCCCAGAAGGGCAATTTAAGACCATGGTAGTTAAAATGACCAAACAAGACCATTTTGATAAGAAATAAAAAAAATTTGGGATGAACTGATGTGTAATACTCGTGTTCGATATCAGCGCCGATATTAAAAACTTTGCTGGATCAGATATCGGCTTCCAAATATCGCTTCAGTTGCTATTCCGGTTGTGCTTTTAAAATTACGTAATGAGAGTATTTACTCTTTGTAACTGGTCCAGAAAGTCTCAGAATGTTTGATTTTTGACATTTGGATCAGTTTTGTTTTATTTTAGTTTTGTTTAAAGGGAATAAATGCTGTTTTTAGTCTCTGCACTCGTGTAGGTTGATATCGGGGATTTAAAGATACAGTATCGAAATCGGTTTGGATGTAACAATCACTGAAATATCTTGATTTTGTTTCGTCAGAAGTCTCACAATAATATCATCGGCCATCACAATATATCAGATTACAAATCTCTTCTTAAATTAATAGTTATGGTGATTCTGATGTCTTTCTTTGTGATTTTAATGTCTTTTTTATTGTGTAAAGTACTTTGAATTACTTTGTTTGAATAGTGCTATACAAATAAACTTGCCTCGCCTCGCCAAGGTGCAGCAATAGCAGAAAAATGGAAAAACTACATAGACCATGATCCTTTGTGATGTCAGTGCAGACTACATGAAGAAATAACTATTATTATGCACTTTTAAATTCTTCATATTCAAACAGTACGAAAGACTTTCAAAGCTTTTCCGAGGCTTTTGAAAGGAAAAAGTAACATATTCACATTTTTGTGAATCTCAATAAATATCAGACATTGAGATGCATATTGTGAAAATACCGTGTTTCCGCACTATAAGCCTCTAACCCCATCAAAAAAAGACTGTGCACCCCACAATCCAGAGCACCCTATACACAAATCCACTTGGGTGTCCCAGCCCAGCACGACTTCTGTAAACTACAAAGCCACACCACCTGCAGAACACGAAAACACACACGGAGCAGACAGCGACCACACAGCGAAAAACACCCACAGCCACACTCATCACTCCACACGGACGAGGAACGGAACGAAGGAACAAACCGAAAAAGCGAGTGTAATGTACCACTTCTAGACACAACTGAACAACTGAGTCACTGCGAACACGCCGACAATCCGTTGGTCCCAGACAGCACCCTCCCTACACGCCACAACTGAACAAAGCCCAGAGTCACCGTGAACTCGCCAAACAAAGTCCCACTGACCCATCCAACTGTTGTGTTTCTTTTAAAGTCCATTGCGGTTTATTTGTGAAAAAAGTTTGAAAATTGACCATTCTATGACAGTGCGTCTTATAATCCAGAGCACCTAATAGTGTGGAAAATACGGTACTGTAGACAGGAAATAGCTGACGCACTGATGTGTCCGAGTCCAACTCAAGCCCGAACACATTACGAGTGTTTCTATTGCTCCAAAATACAATAATTCCTTCTGTGCTCTGGGGTGACTCTCCATAGATCTGACCTGTAATGTAGGGTAGTGGTGTAACCTGCTTGCATCCATCATGATAAATAGGTTAGGAATATTCTAGACAATGCAATAATATTTGCATGGAGACAAGCAGTTGACGATAGCTTGATTTATCAGCCGGTTTCACCTTGTGGAAACCGTCTGACCTTGCAGCGTCAAAATGTGTTTTGTTGTGTTTCGTTTTAAGTCCAGTTCGGTTTATTTGTGAAAAAAGTTCAAAAATAGACCATTCTATGACAGTGCGCCTTATAATCCAGAGCACCCTGTAGCGTGGAAAATACGGTAAGTCAAAAAGTCGGCCCGATCTCAAAAACAATCGCACGAGTGAAAAATTGGCTCAAAAAAGGGCCAAAAACCGCACAGTGACATCGAAGACACGATTAGAGTCCCGTTCCCCGTGGAAAACTTTGTCAGGTTGTGAAGACGCTTGCTGCTGAATCCACAGATTTATCACATGCCGGTGTTGGTGACGACACACCAGAAGTCGTCATCCACATGTTTCCAAACGCCTTCCAGGGAAGCGTGAATATAGGGCCTAGAATAATATTAATGGTCACCGGAGACATGCACCGTTATAATAAGTCCATGACAAATGTTTTTATTAGTCTGCTTCTTCTTATGTTCATTTGAAAGTGTAAAAAAAAATATATAGAAAGAAAATTTTGATCTGATTTGGTTGTAGACATTGCATGACTTGTTTGACTTTTTATTTTGTGTTTTGTCTCCACAGAGCAGCCAGAGCCTTCAGCGAATACCTGTCCACCTCCAGCCCCGAGAACCACAACGGAGCACGTGAGAGCCTTTACATGACTTTACTTTGTGGGGTTTGTGGTTCAAATCCCACTCAGTGCTCTGTCCTTGGATGAAACAATGTCACTTTTTCGTGTGGGGTCCGTCACCCGCATGTTTCTACGATTTGTCATTGCTCTGCCTGGAATGTTTCACAGTATGGCATTAAACCTTTCTATCTTCATGGAAACCAAACCAGACCAAGTTACAGGTCAGATCCTTGGAGAGGCGACCCCGATCACAGTCAGAATGCCTGTTTTTCTAGATATTTTTGACCTCTTAAACTTCTTGTAATTGAATAAATGTAACATGGAGCTGTTTAATGTCATACTGTGGAACATTCTAGCAAACAAACAAGCAGGTGACGGACCCCACAACTAAAGGTTACACAATGGAGCTTTAAGTTTCATTTAGACAGTTCATAAATATAGTTCATTTAAATATTGGCTTGAGATTTGATGGTAGTGTGATCCAAATAGCTGCTGGGGTGTCTTTCCAACAAAATTCTAAATCATTTATGGTCAGCAAGAATAACATCCCTTATCCTTTTTACCCACAATGCCCTCTGGTCTGGCAGTCATTTGCGCGACTGGCAGCTCTCTCTCAGCTCCACTCTGCTGGACCTCACATCTGCTCGGGTCCTTTTTTCTGTCTCAGCTCGTTTATTTTCATCACTTCTCTCATCCCTCCCTAACTTTCAGAGTATTCACCACAATGGGTTTATAATCTCTTTTTACAACTTTCAGAGCTTTTTCAGAGCAGAGTTTTGCCTTGATCCCAAATGTTGCTGTCCTGTGTAAAATGAAAGAAATTAGATACACTTTAAATTAGGACTCGGTGATATAGGAAAAAAAGACTCACATTTTTTCTCCATATTAATATTGATCTTCTTCCGTCTGATTAATAAAATAGACGTGGACTTCAGGCTTAAAGAACAGGACGTCAGGGTCACCACAGTTTTTATTTCATGTTTATATGAAAATTTCTCCAGAATAATTGTTCCTACCAAGTTTGGACTGAGTTTGTACAATACAGTGGTCCCTCGTTTATCGCGGGTTCACGTTCTGAAAATAACCTGTGATAGGTGAAATCCACAATGTAGTCAACTTTATATTTTACAAGGATTATATCTGTTTTAAGGCTGTAAAACTCCTCACCACACACTTTATACACTTTTCTCACACAGGGCATTTTTGTCCAATTGAAATGTAAACACTTGGAAAAAAAAATCTCACAAGATCATTTTTCTCTTGTGTTCACAATCTTGTGGCACTTTTGTCTCACGAAATCTTGTGGCACAAGATCTTGTACTTAGCTGAAACACATTTTTAAACCAGCCAGACATCTGTGTCAAGTGTACGTATGGCAGGATATTTTTTTAGCTTTTAAAATTTTACTTCCTGATTGGAAATTATGACATCACACTAGGGAAGTGTTACTTGGCAACTAGAGATGGACATGATTAGTCGACTAATCAATAATTGATCATTAAGAATTTCATTGATCACGTTCATTTTTAATCGACAAACCGAATGTAGGTTGCTGTGCGTAGAGACTAGGCTGCGTCTGACACAAACACTGGAGTTGTGCCTCACAGTCCCATGTTTGGGTTCTGGCTCCTTGGAGACACTGTACCACTCAGTGAGTGTGTTTACAGCACATCCGTGTCCCGGGTATGATCGGGTTTTTTGAGTACCCTGGTTTCGTCATGGTGCATGTATACGCAGTATCCCGGTTACTGCAACATAAAGAGCTGCGCTAAACCTGCACACGTCTGATCTCTGAAAACCTGAACCATCTCCAACGCGACACACACACAGAACACACTCACCATCATCATCATCAACATCCCTCTGTCACAGAGTTGTGTCCTGTCCTTTAGTCCAACAGAAGCTGAACAACATCAGCGCTGTTTTTTTTTTTTTTTGCTTAGTAAACAAAGTTAAAGTTGACTTTTTTATGCAGATTAGTAATAGTAGTAATAATGATGATCATTTTAATATAAAAACGTTAATGATTATGATGATGATCTCCCGACAATCAATTAAGAAAATTTAATCGAATGCCCATCCCTATTAGCAACCATGTTTTACACTGAGCCAGAACTGCTTTTAATGTACCCAGAAGTTATTATTTGACAAATTAAGTTAAAGCAAATCATGAAGCAAATTACCTTCACTTTTCACTTTACATATTTTTCTACTTTTCTTCACAAATTGCCTCTTGATTGGTGTTAAACAATCATTTCTATTTACGACAGGTATTATTCTACCAAATTAAAGGTCCACTGTGTAACTTTTCTGCTAGAGGTGCTAGTTACTTGTCTCCATGGAGATGTTATTGCTTTACTTCCAATATTTTAAAGTCTTCTCCAAAGAAACAAGTAGGAAACGCCACCAGGCCAATTTACAGGTGAGATCTGTGAAGAGGTGACCCCACTCAGTCAGAATGTCTATTTTTAAAGATGTTTGTAGCAATAAAAACACCCATTATCAACTAAATTCATCTTATATAGCATCTCAGTGATTAACAGACCTTCAACCAAAAAAGTTACGTAATACAGCTTTAAGTCAAAATGAGATAATCGCAAAACCTGCCATGCACACTCTAAATGACTAAATTCTGTCTTATTTTGTGTAAACACATAAACATAGTAATTGACCTAGATATTTTGTCCTCATATTCTTGTTTTCTGTGTCTATGCAGATCACCTTCTGGCTGACACCTTCACCGTCCCAGATTACGAGTCTCCAACCATCACCCGCTTACATAACAACAATCTGCCTCCTCAGAACCATTGTCTACCCAAACCCAACCACAGCACCCAGCCCCAGAGAAGCACCCAACAGAACCAGGCACCCGTGGGACCCTCCAAACGCCGACTGTCCACCGAGCACAGCATTTCATCAGAGGATCAGACGGTAGCACCCGCCTCCAGAGAGAAGCCTTCGCGCGTGTACACCATCACCCGAGAAGGAAGCATGACTCTGGGAGGACGGGGCAGTGAGGAGAGCCTGGAGCTGGAGGTGCTCAAGACGTCAAGGGAGCAGTCTCAGGCCCAGGTAAGAATTTTAGGATAGGATAGTTTTATCAAGATACTGGTGTAATATATGACAAAATAGGAGAGAATAGATCAATGTTTCTCAGACTGTGGCCTTGAGTGGTACACCGGGACCTTCAGCAGTTTGAGGGTCTGTTTACCGGAGAACGCTTGCAGGTAAAAACGACAAAATATTTTATCGGAAGTGCCTTTTGTTTAGACGGTGACGGTGTATTTGGGGCTTAAAAATGCAAAAACCTGAAACCACCCTCCAGAGTGGAAGATGCAAATCTTTGGTCAGATCTGCTCACGTTGTGTACGCGTTTATGTCACATACATAGAGTACACAGAAACAAACATTCCGGATCATTTCCATGCATCAGACCTTCAAGTTGCTCTGGCAGCTCTAATAAACTTACAGGAGACATCCCAACAAGTGGACAGAATCTGCAGAGATACTATTAGTGAACAGAGAAGGATCTGCAATCACCTCTGTCAAATTCTGGATGCACCAGTTGGTTACAGGCGAGTCAGACGGATATGGACGAGACCTGGAGAACCAGTCGATGGTGGGACAACTCTGTGGAAGGAGTAGCTGATGAAAATACGTATAGTGGAAATTTGCGTATGTCCAAAGATGCCCTTGTTGCTTTAAGTACATGCATACACAATCGAATTCCACACACTTTTGGGTTACCGTATGCACGCAGATTTCCTCCTGAAAGCGCTCGTCTAAACACGGAATAAAAAGTGAAGACACAACGCCACTTTTGCATCTTCTGTTCAGACTGTCATATAAATGTAGCTTAGTGTTAGTTTAATTTAGAGACAGATCTTAATATTTTGTCCCATTTTTCTTTCTTTCTTTTTTTTTTTTTTTTTTTTAATACAGCACTTTTTCACCTTCAAGGCTCTCAAAGTGCTTTTACAACAAGCAACCACTCATCCATTCACACACTGGGGGCGAGGTGGGTTAAGTGTCTTGCCTAATGACACAACAACAGTATTCATCTGTGGGAGCTAGAACCACACCAGTCAACCTGTGGATCAGTGGATTGGACCACTCAATGTTTATGCCGAGAGCAGGATTCGAACTGCCAACCTCCGGATCAGTGGACAAACGCTTTACCAACTGAGCTACTGTGATTATTTGTGCTTATTCAGGTCATTATTTAAAACTATAGTATCTATTTGGTCCCGTTTTTTTAACATGTTTATGCCTATTTTCGTGATATTTTCTGAGTTTAGATCTGGCGGCTCTCGGAAAAACAAAATTTTATCTTTAATGATACTGAAAAGTTTGAGAACAACTTACACAGAATATAAATAGGAGTGGACCAAGAACACTGCCTTGGGGGACATTTCCTGATCCACATTACCTTTTATTTGCAAATCATATTTTGGCCGTGTAATTAGCTGTAATTAAAAAGCGGGTCACACTGAAGGCAATGGGAACATATCAGCAGAATTAATTGACTTCTGAATTAAATTTTGGTGAATGGTTTCAGGGGAAAACATTTGTAATATTAGTTAGCTCTCCATTAAAACAGCAAGCCACATCCTCCTTAGACTTAGACTTAGACAGACTTTATTGGAAAAACAAGGGAAAATAGTTGGACACATTAGCTCACACATCACAATATAATATAATCAAAAAGAGTAAAACAATTAAATTAAAGTATTTGGTAGTAATGCTTAAATAATAAGTGTCAACAAAAAATAGCAAGAGACTGGTGTCAGATAAGGCATAATTATATAAATGTATATGTACAAGTAAGTAAAAAGCAGACATATAGTAATATAAATTACAATATAAGTTACAGGCCAGATCTGTGGAGAGGTGACCCCGCTCACAGTCAGAATGCCTGTTTTTCTAGGTATTTTTGAGCTCTAAAACCACCTGTAATTGAAAAAATGTAGTAGAGCTGTTTAATCGATGTGTTATTCGTTCATTCATTTTTCAGAATAAAACCAAAAACGAAAAAAAAATTGTCTCCCATAACCAAAATGAAAAAATGCATAACAATTTGTTTTTTTTAGTTTCCGTGCTGCATATGGACTGATCCAGGACTAATCGTTGTCTTATTTTTGGTTTTATTTTGAAAAACAAATGAACGAATGATACTCGGATTCTGTTTAATGTCATACTTTGGAACATTCCAAGCAGAGCAATGACATATCCATAGAAACAAACAGGTGACGGATCCCCAACCAAAAAGTTACACAGTGCACCTTTAACGTTGTGCTCTCCCCACTCCCAGGCTCCTGTCGCCCCCAACACATCCTGCACCAGCCAGCCTTCTCGCAGCACCAGCACCCATCACAGGAGCAGCCATCACCGGAGCAACCATCACCACGGTAACCAGCATCAAAGCGGCGGCGGCGGCGGTGGCGGTGGCCCCTCCTCCTCCCAGCCTCTGAAGAGTTCGGGCAGCGCCAGTAACATCCGGGACTGGGGGCTCCGGAGGGGGGGCTCTCGAGAGGAGTACACGCCCGACTGCGTGGCCTGTATCCGGGCCCCGTGTCAGAGCCAGAGGTCCCTGGATCTGGACATCCCGCCGCGGGACGGAGGGAAGCCACGCAAGAAACTGGAGAGGATGTACAGCGAAGATAGAGCGCTGTCGGAAGACAGGGGTAAGGAAATGTGGAATAAATTTACATTGCAAATATTTATTTATTTGTTTGTTTTAATTTAAAGAGCCCATGTTACCCTATTTTCTGATCTATGTTTTAATGTTGTTTCCTCATCGCAAACAGACCTGGAGTTGTGTTTTGTTTCATTCACACGTTTAGCACACACACCCTGTATATGTAGATTAAGTTCTTCTCATCCTACACTTTGTTCCACCTTGCGATGTCATGGGGTAATACAGGAAGTGCTCCACTGTGTTTTTAAACCCCATATACTCTCACTAAATTCATTTGGATGATTTTAGGCCTGGAAAAGCCAATCTCTGCTAAACAAAGGGTAAAACATACCCTTCATGACATCACAAGGTGGAACAGAGCATTGCAAATAGGCTTAGGGAATGTGCAATTAAAACCGCACATAGGGAGTGTGAAATTATTAATAGAATACAAGAATGCAAAGGGCTTGCCTGTAAAGAATGTTTTAAAGGTCCTGTTGGTGCGTCACTCGTGGTCATACTTGGTCTCATATCTATTTTTGTTCTATGGTGTTTGTTTATGTGGTGCTTTATGTTGTGTTGTCCTGTTTTTTTGATAAAGCATGTTACCCCCGGTCCCAAGACAAATTTCTCCCATGGGAGATAATAAAAGGATTATCTTATTTAAAGAGTTTAGAAATGTAGACAGACTTGTAAGGGTTATTCAAACATGTGTGAATGAAACAAAATACAACTCCAGGTCTGTTTTTGAAGAGGTAACAACAGAGTAAATTTTGCATACTATCGTACTTTTAAAAAAAATATAAAAAGTCACAATCAAGAAGAAAAAAAGGCGCGCGGTCTGTTCAGGGGTTAGTGCAGGGGTGCTCAATACGTCGATCGCGATCTACTAGTCGATCGCCAAGGTCGTGTGGGTAGATCGCGGTGTCTTAGTACTCATCTCGGACTCGCGTTTGGACTCGGTCTTGTCTCTCACTCAAGGTCTGACACTCAACAAGTGCGATCATATTGCTGTTGGCAATAAACTTGTAGCGGGTGCAGGAGCGTGTGGGGCGTCTCAGTGCAGCCTGTGCGCTCATTTGAAACCCGCGGAGACTCTACGGCACATCACAAACACACACGCTCCCTATGCACGGCTCGTCTGCAACAGCGTGTGCCCTCGTGTACCAGCGTGCATCACAGGGCAGGTTCAACTTCCTAAACATCCTACCTGTCCATCTGCCTCACGTCAGCACGCCGCCCCTCGCCTTTTCACGCTCTCGCTCCTTCCTGCGTACAGCGAACACAAGCCCCTCCCACAGTGCGGCTGATTAGAAGAGCAAGACCAAACGTGAAGCAAAAACGAGTCTAAATTTGTGTTCCAATGTTGGCACAAAGCAGGTCTACAGCATAGAGCGGATCTACAGAACAGACCTACTGCCACATTTGGCTGAAGTTTGTCTAACAAAAGTGCACAAATGCATCTGTGTTTGTCACGATGTGCGTTTGGTTTGGTAAACGTGCAGAGGCTGGTAAATATCACTGCAAAACCAGAAAAGAATGCAACTCCAGTTTGGAACTTTAAAAAACAGGTTTAAAAATCTTCCTTCACTTTTTTCACAGTTTTGTGTAAAGTGCCAGAGGAAGTTCTCTTAAAGAAGAGGTTCTCAAACTGTGGGTGAGGGTCCAAAAAAGGGGCACAGAGTGTTTCAGTGCAGTTTGCTTGGCTTTGTATTAGGTAGATCATTTTGACTTGGTCATTTTGTAAGTAGCTCACATGCTGAAAAAGTGTGAGCACCCCTGGTCTAGTGTATTCTGATTCCTGACCTAGTCACTGGATAGAAATGAAGCTGAGCGGAGGCACTAGGTGGCACCAGCCTGGCTAGAAAATTGTAGCCAAAAGGAACAGAATTTCCATGGAAACAAGCAGAAAGAGGCCTCGCTTCAGCCCAGATAAGTCAGGTTGATGGAGATGCGAGGCTGCTCATAATAAGAACACACTTTATTCTGGAAAAAAACTAAAAACACAAATAGTGAATTGTTGAGTATAATCTTACGTACTGCAGCATTAATACGGGGGGTGTGATTTATTTATTGTGTAGTTATTGTAAGTTTGAAAAAATTGTATTATTTTGCTAGCAACTTGCAATGGTAAGATTAATGGAACCAGAGACCAGCAAAGCAATCTAAAATGTTTGTGTTTTCTTTTCTTCTTATTTTTCTGTCTTTACAATTGCAATCTACTGAAATGTATTTGGCTACAGCTGATTGCAGTGTAGGGAATAGGTTGCAGGGATAGATTAGAAACACTCAAATGTAATCTCTTTAATTAAATAAGTAGAATAAACAGAAGTGCCCGCATAAACAAACCCTCTCCCAGTCCTTCATTAAAATGCGTTATTGACTCTTGTATGTAAAAACCCTCTTGTTTCGTTTGTCTCTGTTGTCGTCTTTCTCCCATTGACCCTTTTCATTACTGCCTTTTCAGAGGACGGACCCAACAGCTGGTTTCCCAAAGAGAACATGTTTAGTTTCCAGACCGCCACTACCACCATGCAAGCGTGAGTATGCCCACACGCCCACACGCCCACACGCCCACGCTCTCGTATGCTCGCCCACCCACTCACCTTCTCTCTTATGCCCACCTACTTTCTCTCTTATGTCCACCAGCCCCCCCTCTCTTTTATGCTCACCCACTTTATCTCCTATGCCCACCCACTTTCTCTATTCTGCCCACCTTCTCACCCACTTTCACTCTTATGCCAGCCCACCCATCTGCCCTCTCTCTGATGTCTACCCACCGCCGTCTCTCTTATGCCCGCCCTACCTCTCTCCCTTATGCCCGCCTCCCGCCCTACCTCTCTCCTTATGCCCGCCCACCCTCTCTCCCTTATGCCCGCCCGCCCTACCTCTCTCCCTTATGCCCTCCCGCCCTACCTCTCTCCCTTATGCCCGCCCGCCCTACCTCTCTCCTTATGCCCGCCCTCCCCCTACTCTCTCCCTATGCCGCCTCCCGCCCTACTCTCCCTTATGCCCGCCCTCCCGCCTACCTCTCTCCTTATGCCCGCCCTCTCCGCCCTACCTCTCTCCCTTATGCCCGCCCTCCCGCCCTACCTCTCTCCCTTATGCCCGCCCTACCTCTCTCCCTTATGCCCGCCCTACCTCTCTCCTTATGCCCGCCCCCGCCCTACCTCTCCCTACTCTCCCTTATGCCCGCCCGCCCTCTCCCTACGCCCGCTCTCTCCCTACCTCTCTCCCTTATGCCCGCCCCTCCCGCCCTACCTCTCTCCCTTATGCCCGCCCTCCCGCCTACCTCTCTCCCTTATGCCCGCCTCCCGCGCCTACCTCTCTCCCTTATGCCCGCCTCGCCCGCCCTACCTCTCTCCCTTATGCCCGCCCTACCTCTCTCCTTATGCCCGCCCTACCTCTCTCCCTTTATGCCGCCCTCCCTCCCTACCTCTCTCCCTTATAAGGGAGAGGTAGGGCGAGGGGGCATAAGGAGAGAGGTAGGTGGGCAGGCCTCTCTCCCTTATGCCCGCGCCACCCGCCCGCCCGCTCTACCTCTCTCCCTTATGCCCGCCCGCCCTCCCGCCCTACCTCTCTCGCCTACCTCTCTCCTTATGCCCGCCCGCCCGACCTACCTCTCTCCCTTGTGCCCGCCCCGCCCGCCCTGCCTCTCTCCCTTATGCCCGCCCGCCCGCCCTGCCTCTCTCCCTTATGCCCGCCCGCCCGCCTGCCTCTCTCCCTTATGCCGCCCGCCTGCCCGCCTCTCTCCCTTATGCCCGCCCGCCCTGCCTCTCTCCTTATGCCCGCCCGCCCTACCTCTCTCCCTCTCTCCCTTATGCCCGCCCTTCCTTCCTCTCTCCCTTACGCCCACCCGCCCTCCCTACCTCTCTCCCTTATGCTCACCCGCCCGCTTTCTCTCCTATGCCCAACCACTTTCTCACTTATGCCCACCTAGACACCCACTTTCTGTCTTATGCCCGCCCTCCCTACCTACCTCTCTCTCTTATATCCCGCCCGCCCTACCTACCTCTCTCTTATGCCCACCCGCCTTCTCTCTCCAGCCCACTTATGCCCACCCACCCATCGACTCTCTCTCTTATGCCCACCCACCCTTCGCCCTCTCTCTTACGCCCGCCTACCCGCCCTTCACCCCGTCTCTCTTTCTCTTTCTCTCACAATCCCTTCGCTGGCACCAAAATACACAGGCTTTTTCTGCCAACTGCATTCCCACAAACCAGGACCAGAAATCTTACAACTATCTCACACGTTTCACGTTTGTCAGCTTTGCCAGAAGGAAGAGCAGCCAGTTATGTATTACAAGAAAAACGAAACTGCCAGTTCTCGTTGTCTGCTACTTTGACTACTACAAATAATACGTGTGAGTTGTAGTTAAAGGTGCACTGTGTAACTTTCCTGGTGGAGGGTCCATCACATGCTTTTCTCCATGGAGATGTTATTGCTTTGTCTGGAATGTTTCAGAGTATGGAATTAAACCTTTCCAAGTTACAATTTAGATCCGTGGAGAGGAAACCCCACTCACAGTCAGAATGAAGTCTGTTTTTATAGGTATTTTTGGAGCTGTAAAATCTCCTGTAATTGATTAATTGTAAGGTAGAGCTGTGTAACATTTGGTTAGGTGTCCGTCCTTCTTGTTTATGGATATGTCATTGTTCTGCCTGGAATGTTCCACAGTATGACATTAAACAGCACTAACTTGCATTTATTTCATTCCAAGTATAGTTTTATAGCTCAAAAATACCTTGAAAAACAGGAATTCAGACTGAGAGCGGGGTTTTCTCTCCGCAGATCTGACCTGTAATTTGGTCTGGTTTGGTCTCCAAGGAGGAAAAAAAACAGTTTTAATGCCATACTGTGAAACATTCCAGACAAAGCAATAACATCTCCATGGAGAAAAGTATTTGAAGGACCCTCCATAATGCACCTTTAACGCCAAAGCATCTTGTAAATGTACATGGCTGTCGTTAGTGAAGTTTGACATATTATCAGTCGGGGATAACTCTTGTTGAGACCATTTGGGAAGAGGCAGAACATTTTGTCGAATACTTGAATCTGATTGGGTGAAGTGTTTCAACAGAGTAGGAAAAGAAAAGCGAAAAAAAGAAAAGAGAAAAAAAGGAAAGAAAAGAGTGAGGGCTTGATGCTGCAAGACACAGAGGATACTGATGAGGGACACTTTTGTCCTGAGGACTGCTACTCTCCACAAACTGCACTGACACTAGATCTGATGACACTACCTGTGGAGCTGCACTGAGCCTTTTGTTTGAGATTATTGTGTAGACAAACTTTATTGATACACAACAGAAATTACTTATTATTACACATCATTATATATTATAATAACAAAGAGAAAAAATATAAATGGTAATAATACATTCTAAATAAGTAGAAAAAACTGCAAGACACTGATGTCAACTACTCATTGTGTTTAAATTGCCTCTTTGGGACAAATAAAGGGATACTGACTGACAGATTAATTGAGAAAACTGATCAGTCAAAAACAAATTCATTTTTAGAAATGCACAGATATCTGCCCCATCTATCCCAGTGGTTTCTCTCTTGGATTGGATTATGACAGTTTTGCAAGATTAACAAAAGTAAAAAGAACAAAAACAAAAAACTAGATTGGCTTTATTTAGGCGCTTTTCACTATCTAACCTACATAGACCTAGCCTGAATCATCAGCCGGTTTCACTTCGTGGAAACCATCTGACCTCACAGCATTAGGATTTGTTCGCTCAACGGTAGGCAGGTACTTTTTTTTTTTTAACCAATTGCTGCTATTTGGTTGTGACGTATGTAATGTGCCAAATCCCGTAGGAAGAAGGACAATACCATCTTTCCCCTTGATAAAATTCACCAAACATTCTCTTTGTTCCGGCTTTAAATCCTCGATCCGGTTTTAAATCCTCGATCTCAGGAATCGTATGGCTTCGTCTACATCCATCTCGACCACTTTGTTTGCTGTACCACAAAATGGACCCAGACAGGAGCTTGAGTTTGACGTCATGGCTTCACAGCTCTTCGCTGATTGGCCGGTGCGTGATCTTCAACTTCCAGGGTTCTTGCAAACTGTCTAGTATATTCTGATTTCTGACCTAGTCGCTGGAGAGAAATTGAAATTGAGTGGAGGCACTAGGTGGCACCAGACTGATTGTATATAAACCATCCCAAGCCACAATGCTTCTCTGTCATTGATCTGATCCTTCAGTGGATTCAAGGTGACCACATCAATGGGAGCCTGGCAGGATGGATTTTGCAGGTAGACGCCTCCCTGCTCTGGGTAAAGAAATTAAATCCTCCCCCAAAAACGCTAGTCCCTAAACTGGGAATCATTAAAATCTCCAGCAGTGCAGGAGTTTTAGCAGAGTTGACATTTTCTATAAATAGTAGCTCATAGTGAAAGCAGCCAACCTTAACTTGTCTTCTAAACTTTCTGTTAGAATGTCTCACAATTTAAATCAATGCTGAAATGACTTTTACAAAGGGGGTATTATGCAAATTTGACTTTTTGGAGCTGTCTGCAGAGTTATAATATTGTTCCCTCATTCAAAACATGCCTGAAGTGGTTGCATGTTTAAGTAATTTAGCGATCTCTCCTTATGGTTACTTCTATCGTCTGTGCGCCTCCACCACAGTTTATTCATAAATTTACACAAACAGGATACAAAAAAAATACACTACAACTTGACAAACCTGATACAATGTGCAGTAGTTTCATTATTGTTTTGGGATAGTGCTCTGAAGGGGGAGTGAACAAGGGGAGCGGGGATTCAGAGAGTCAAAAATTAAACTGAAACTAATACATACTAGTCGACAGGAGGGCACAAAGGCGTCTATTGTCCCGGGCCCCAGGGACTTAGGAGCCCAGAATTTGACTCTCTTTGTATTCATTTATATTAAAGGGGGGCCCATGTGAGGTGTCTCGCCCCGGGCCCCCAAATTTCTGTCGACGGGCCTGCATGAATACACTGTTTTTGTCAAATATAGTATTTTCAAAACAATAAAAGTTAAGATGGTGATCTAAATATGTTATGTGTTAACAAGAAATACCCCATAGAAGTGTAAGTAAATCGTAATCACAAACCTTTAATGATCCTGCGTACCCCTTCTTTTTATACTTTTTCTGTGTATTACATAGGGGTGGGCGATATCTCGATATTTTAAATATATCGATATCTTGATATTTTAAATATATATATAACTTGATATGAATTCTGACATATCGTATATATCGATATAATGCTTATATTTAATTTTGATTTTGCCACTTCGCTTGTTTACCTTCTCTCGTCGCCTCCGCGTGCCCCCGCCTCCTTGATTTTGTTCGCTCGTGTCTCATTCACTCCTCACTAGGGATGGGCATTCGATGAAATTTTCTTAATCGATCGTCGGAAGAATTAACGATCAATTATCGATTAATCATTAACGTTTTTATATTAAAATGATCATCATTATTATTACTATCTGCACTACTAATCTGCATAAATAAATTCAACTTTACGACATATAAACCGTAACGACTCTAGAGCCACATCAATCCGTTTTAGATTATAATGTGTTTAATTCAGTTTAGCGCAACTCTCACAGAAACGAAACTTAAAACCGCATCACTAATTTGCGTAAACTCGGCGAAAATAAAACTACAGCTCTTGTGTCGCTGATGCGGTCAGTTTCTGTTGGATTAAAAGACATGACTCAGGTGAATACAGGTTAGTGTGACCAGATTTGTGTTTGTCAAAACCAGGACACCGTACGGGGGGAGGGAGGTGGGGACTCGTCATTGACGTTGCGCGACTCTCACCTGGTAAAGCTTTTTCCCACTGGACACCGAAACATATGTGCTGCTTTGTACACTGTGCACATGGACTCACACTTGTCCCGAACGCAACGGAAAGCGTGGAATTTCTTGTACAAATCATCGTTAAATACACATTTGTGCTTCGGTACGCATTGCAGACTGACCGAATGTTTGTGTTTGCTCGCTCCTTCTGATGCAAAGAGACACATGTACAGACCCCTGTTTGGTCACGCTACACACAGCAACCTACATTCGGTTTGTCGATTAAAATTAACGTAATCGATGAAATTCTTAATGATCAATTAGCGATTAATCGATTAATCATGCCCATCCCTACTCCTCACTATCGCCGTGAATACGGAAAGTTGGTGCCAGTGAAAAGCTTCAAGCACCACAAACCTTTTCCACCATTTAAAGACAAGGCCATCAGCAGCACATCCTCATATTCCACTGAGTCGTGTCCTTTTTCCTGAAAGAAGCTAAACGAGCTGAGCTGCATGAGAAGTGCGCTGTTTATGCAAATGAGCCATGCGCTTAAGTTTCGTTTCTGTAAAATGTAAACACATGTGCGCAAAACTGCATTAAACACATTATTATCTCAAACAGGCTGATGTGACTCTAGAGTCGTTATGCTTTAAATATTGTAAAGTTTAGCAATGTAAAGTTTATTTATGCAGAAGATTTTAATTAATAATCTGTTGCAGTGTCACTTGTACAATAGTGTTTGGAAACGTTGGGTTTGATCTGCAGTGGATTGTGGGAAACCTCACAGCTCCTCACTGCTGGATAATAACATGGATCTATTAAAATAAAGAACATCCTGAGTTTCTTCTGCTAAATGAGCTCATGGTTCTGGTTCTGGTCTGGATAACAGAGTTAATGCAAAGATGAGCTTGTGTTGAGTTCTTTTATTTATGAATTAAAAGAAGGAAATATGTATTATTTCTTTTATTTTACAGTTAAATTATTTATGTAATTAGGGTTTTTGTAATCTTAAATGTTCCTATATGAACTGCCGACCTCTTACGCTTCAATTTAAAAAAAAAAAAAAGACCTTGTGGAATCTGGCAGATTTGTTTTTGCAGTTTTCAGTTTTAGGGGGTTATTTTTTCTTGAACATATATCAAGATATATATCGTATATCGAGATATAGCGAAACATATCGAGATATATTTTTTGATCCATATCGCCCAGCCCAAGTATTACGTCATTTATTTTTCTCGGAGTCTGATCACAAGAAAAGCACGAGTCAGTCAGTCACTTCAGTAGACATCTCCACAGAGTTCAGCTGCCCCCGGACCCCCCTGTGGCTCTCGGTGACTGGATAATTACCACTTATCCGGCACATCTTATAATTATCCCTTTCTAACAGACAAAGACTGTCCTCCTTTCTCTCCTCGATCCCACACCGTGTCATTTTCTCCGTGCATAGGCCAAAATCTACAAGTCTGCCGGCAATCCGTTTCCACTGGAGCGTATTAAGGTCAGCATAATAAAGTAGTCTCTGAGAGTATCTGGAACATTACACTATTGATTGCGTATTGGCATTTCATTAGTGTTAATTTCCTTTATTTGTTATAATAGTGATAGGTGGAAGGTTTGATCCTAGATTTGACCATGAAAACTGTTGCTGTGTCCTTGCGCAAAACACTTCACCCATTTTGTCTTCGGTGGGTGCCATTTTTCACAAATATACGAAAGCAGGTTACGAAACAATACAATACAGCTTCACAAACCTGATCTGTGTTCATTAGTGGGATGCACATTGATTGTTTTGGGATAGCGCTCTGAAGGGGGAGCATCAAAAACTAAACTGAAATTAATTAAGCATTTAAATCCGTGTGTCATTTGTTCATTCATTTTTCCAAATAAAACCAAAAATAAGATAATGAAAAAACAGCAATTTTCTTCATTATTTGTCTCTAAACCAAAATGAAAAAAACTGATAAAGATTTTTTTTTTAGTTTTTTTCAGTACTGAACCAGGACTGAACCAGGTCTAAAGCAGGACTAAAGCAGGACTAAAGCAGGTCTAAAGCAGGTCTAAAGCAGGACTAAAGCAGGTCTAAAGCAGGTCTAAAGCAGGTCTAAAGCAGGACTAAAGCAGGTCTAAAGCAGGTCTAAAGCAGGTCTAAAGCAGGACTAAAGCAGGACTAAAGCAGGACTAAAGCAGGAATAAAGCAGGACTAAAGCAGGACTAAAGCAGGACTAAAGCAGGACTAAAGCAGGACTAAAGCAGGAATAAAGCAGGCATAAAGCAGGACTAAAGCAGGACTAAAGCAGGACTAAAGCAGGACTAAAGCAGGTCTAAGCCAGGACTAAACCAGGTCTAAGCCAGGACTAAACCAGGTCTAAACCAGGTCTAAACCAGATCTAAACCCCGAACCCATGGAGCAGGGTGTCCGCAAAGTGCGATCGGGCGTCGGTTGTGTTTAGCCCCGTGGAGCGTGGAGCTCTGTGAGAGTCCTTTTGCTTGCAGTCACCTAACAGTCACAAACGTTCATTTTAACGGGGCTGCACAATATACTGATACAAGAATGTTGACACCAAAACCAAAGTTCTCCTCTGACTGAAATGTGCCGTATTTTCAAAGTAAAATGTTAAAAAAAAAAAAGTCAGGATTTTCTTTGGTAAGTGACTAGTAATTGAGTAATTTATAGCAACAACATGTAGAGTCAGTTTTGTGGAGTTTTTTCCTATCGTTTTTAAAGCAAGGTCTATCTAGTCTATTTTGTCAAAAAAGTTACATGGTGTGGCTTTAACTAGTAGTTCAAATATCAATGTCAAAACCCATATTAAACTATTTCAGTGAAAGTGTTGATGCAATAAAATCATAGTTTAATAGTAAGTCTTTTATTTATATTTTTTCACAGACATATGTCACAAAGACACTTTACACAGCATTATTCAGCATTATTCATTCACTCTATACCTGGTGATGGTAAACTACTGTTGTAGTCACAGCCGCCCTGGGGCAGACTGACGGAAGTGCAGCTGCCATGTCAATCTGCGCCATCGGTCCCTCCGACCACTCACACTCATCACTCACACAAACACCACTTTCATACTAGGCAATGTGGGTGAAGTGTCTTGCCTAAGGACACAACAACAGTTTTGCCATTGCCATCCCGCTGTGGCACCTGATTTTCCCAGTACCTCTCATCCAAGTACTAAAACTACCCGGCCTTGCTTTGCTTCTGAGATCTGACAGGATCAGGCTTTGAAAAAAATAAATAAAAAATCCATGTATTTTTTCCACATCGTGCAGTCCTAATATGTACAAACGAGGTTATACTGCACGAGGTGTCAACAACTTCATTTGCAAACAATGTTCAAACAAATAACACCAATGTGCTTTGAACAAAATTGCAAATTGAGTTATCAAACATGTACACGTGGATTTAATTAGATCTTTTCCCATTTTGTGTCCCTGGAAATCCTTGGCTACAGAAAAGAAAGCAGAACAGATACTATTTCCAAACTGAAATAACAGACATAGTAGAACTGGCATGAATGTATTCGCCATTATATCCCACTTTTTTCCCCCTAAACGGTGTTATTTTGTATCATATTAGTGTGTGCTGTGCTGCAAAATCTTTTCAGCCAAAAAACACTGAAAGAAGATAGAAAAAGCACTGGACCAGGCTTGACAAAACTGCATGTACTCTTTTATTGAATCTCTGCATGCCCCGTGATTCCTGCCTCTAACTCTTTGCTCTCTCTCTGTTTTTTCCACATGGCTGCTTTCCAAATGCTGACTACAGAATCTCGTGAGTAACTTTCCTCCTCCTCCTCTTCCTCTTCCTCTCTCCTTCCTTCTCTTCTGGTCGCTCCTTCCTTTTTGCTTGTGGGTCAGTAACTCGTGAACCTAGTGCCAGCCTCTGTGTAGCTTTCGTGCTTTAGTCCGTTCGTGTCCTTCACCCTGTCTGTCAGTGTAATATGTGAAATCCCTTGAGTCAGCTTTAAGTGGAAGGAATATTGTGAAAAATGACACGATACACAAGTAGTTTAAAGAGTTAAAATCAAACTGGCTACGTTTACATGATGTTTTTTTTATTTATTCCGAATTAATTGTTCTGAATTAAATAGTTCGGAATTAAAATATTCTCCTTCGAGTTTAAATGGAAATAATAATTCTGAATTGAGGTTTACTTGGAAAACACGTTAAATCTGCTTTATTTTTTACCCTCAGCTCAACGTCTGGGGGTGGGGAAGGGTTCTGATTGGACAGAGACACGAATATATTTACATCTACCGGAAGAAAACACACACTTCAGCTGTTCGGCTTTTTTTGTTTGTCGTTACACCATGGACACAAACACGATACAAACTTTTTCGCAGTCGTTTCAATGATAATTAAGCAGCAGCTCGAGAATTCTGTCATCAATCATCAGCTGAAGAGGAGAAGGGAAGAGTGTCAGAGAACAGAGAAAGAACACAAACTGAGTCAACGTCTGCCCTCTCCCGCGTCCTGCTCGCAAATCCAAAGAGACGCGGATGAAAGTCCGAAGCCAGGACTGGTGGAGCTGGATCGCCTGGATTGCGTCAGAAGGGCGACCCAATGAGCATGCACTGAATGACCAGAATTATTTTTAAAAAAGAATAAACATTTACATGATCGAGGAATAAATTAATTCGTCTTTAAAATAGTAATAAACCTAGCCTGATTCATCAGCTGTTTTTACTTCGTTTCACTTCGTACAAACCGTCTGACCTCGCAGCCTTAGATTTCGCTCGCTCGACAGTAGGCGGTTACTTTTTATCATTTAACCAATCGCTTCTGTTTGGTCGTGACGTATGTAATGGGTTAAGTGATATATTAAGCTTTTCTCAAATCCCGTAGGAAGAAGGGCAATAACGTCTTTCCCCTTGATAAAATTCACCAAACATTCTCTTTGTCCCGGCTTTAAATCCTCGATCTCAGGAATCGTTGACAACACTGAATATATGACTCTTCGCTGATTGGCTGGTGCTCGAACTTGCACTTCCTGGGTTTTTGCGAACCGTCTATTGTATTCTGATTCCTGACCTAGTCGCTGGAGAGAAATGAAATTGAGCGGAGGCACTAGGTGGCACCAGCCTGGCTAGAATAAACCACCCACTTACTTCGGAATTCAGTTTAATTCCCAGTAATCATTTTCGTTAGGAATTAAGTGTTTACATGATCTTTTTAAAGCGGAATTCAGAATGAATTCATATTTATTTGGGATTAAAGCTCTCATGTAAATGTGGCAACGGAAACATCGCACTGCTTCTTTGAGTATGGAGCGCATTTCCAAAGATCCCGTTGTATTTTAAATCCACAAAGTATGTAGTTTTGCAGTGTAAAAGAGCACTGAGCACAGAGCAGCGCCGTGATGAAAACAAAACAGTTGAGGGTGAAGGCAAAGGCATGGAGGCTACATTAAACGGAACACAAAGCTCGCATTTAAAATCACTCACCCTCAGAGCTGCAGACGGAGCTCAAAGCAAAACACAGCAAGACAAACTCATGTAGATGTTAACTCTTATCCAAGCTGAAGTGACTGGACTTAAAACTCAAATCTGAGAGAAAGAAAATGAATCCACACATGGGTTCTTTGGAGCTCCCCAATGTTATTTTCATTTCAGATCAGAGCCCTTCTACAAACATGAAGATCCAATAACCCATGTGGAGTTGTGTTTTATTTCATTTAACACACTGACCCTGCATATTTAGGCTTCTCAAGTTTTTCTCTCAAACAAAAAACACTCTGTTGCCCCTTGTGATGTCATGTGGTGATACAGGAAGTGTTTTTAAACTCCAGACACCTTCACTAAAACCATTTGTATAATTTAAAGAACCATTAAACGCCCTCCCGAAGCTTTACTCCGCCCCTAAGCCAAATCTGAAAAATCCTGCAGAGTGGGCGGTGCCTGGCGGGTTGGGGGGAGCGGGTGTGGGGCGGGCTCTGGAGAGATGATTGACAGTTGACCGACAGCCACAACAATCCAACACGGCGCGACTTTTGAAACATTTGCGCTTGACATTTCCCTTTTCTCTAGACACGGTGGGACATCGCAGCGCCCAGTAGTTCCTCACGTACCGGCCATAGACACTAGTGGCTGTGTTCGTCACGTAATAACCTGCTTCTGACTCATTTTCGGCCTTTAGTCCCACTTGAAAATCAAATGTCCTGGCCGTAGTTGACCCTAAAGAGACCGTTACAGACACGACTTTTGACCCAAAAGTCAGATTTTTTACACATATGCACTAAAATGCTAAAATAAGGTCAGGGTTAGGTATACATTTCTATTTTAGACCCAATTACACAACAAATCAGTAGAAAAAAGTGATTTTGGTGTTTAGTGGCTAGCCCTGTAACGCTTTTCCGGACGCGATAAATTCTTTTTGTATGTTTGTTTGTTTTCCTCTTCTCTCGCTCTCTACCAAAGAGACTGAATGCGTGCAGCCTGAGTGCAGAAAGCGCCGCTGTCTGTGCGGTGAACATGAAGCTGCAACAAAAACTAGTGCCAACGTCAGAACTAAAACAGTTCATTGCCGTGTGCCAAAACAAGTCACAATGCCAAATTTACATGAGTGTGTGGGATACGTACATCTCAACGGCCACATGCGTCAAATGCTGCGAGCACACAAACGACGAGAAGAAATGTCTCAAAACCCAGCAGCCGACATAAACCCATACCCGAGCGACAGAAGTAGCCCCCGGGAGAGCCCGAAATCCAAAAAGAAACTGACATGATACCAGACAGGACAGAGGCTCCCTCATAGAGAAATAGGATCCTGTGTCAAGGGTTAATACGAACACTTCAAGACCAAAACTAGAAAAGCACTCAGAGAGCGCAGACCTCCGCCAAGGACTACCCCCATTTTTTATATAAATTGCGATAAAATCAGTCTTCTGGATCAGATCCGGATCAGCCTTTGGAATATGAAAGAGGATCCCATTGTCCATCCCTGAGTCAAATTTCATGGGGTTTGATCAATAATTAACCGAGATATTGAGAAACTAAATTTTTGGCCCCATTTACCACAGTGTTAACTAAAATTTCAAAGTGATTCAGAATCCAGGATTTCTTCCGGATCACCCCCAAAATGAAATCAGTTCTTCCTTTTCACATTTCCAACAAATCCTGAAAATTTCATCAAAATCGGTCCATAACTTTTTGAGTTATGTTGCTAACAGACAAACAAACAAACAAACAAACAAACAAACAGACAAACGCCGGCAAAAACATAACCTCCTTGGCGGAGGTAATGACGAGGCTCACAGCAGCAGCCACAGACAAAGCGACAATATTCCAATGGAAGTCAGTGACTAAAATAACTTTTAAGGGCAGTTTTGTAACAGAGACTTAATAATTCCATTTATTTATTGTTTTGGCTCTGCTTGGTTCAGCAATGGTTTATTCAAGTCCTCGCTACATTAGGCTATTTTTATGTTAACAAGTCTATTTTATTTAGACTTGTTGATTTTTCTTGCAGTTCCTGTGTTAAATGTTCTTTTAGCAAGTAAGGTTTACTGATCTTTGAGAGGGTGTATTTGCATTTTTATTCCAGGGTCATTATATTATTTGAAAATGGTCTCAAAATGTCAATATTATCATTTATCGCAATAAATCCTTGGTCAATTAATCTTCCAGCAAAATCTGTTATCGTTACAGGCCTATTAGTGGCTCTTTAATCTCGAATTGACAGTCTCTTCTGAACAAACAGGTAGCTTGAAAACTCCCGCTTCATGACATCACAAGGTGGAACGGAGCATTTTGAGCTTTGGAGATGTAGGCAGAGTAATAAACGTGTGAATGAAACAAAACTGAACTCCATTTACGTTCTTGATGAGGTAACAGCGTTCTAACATGTCAGTTTTGCGTAATATAAGACCTTTCAATTCAACTTCCTCCTCATCGTACAATCTGAACAAAAGCATATGTTCTTTTTTTTTTTTTACTGTATATAATTATAGTGGCACTTGATGTACCCACTTAAGTGTCTACCCTGTATGTACTATTTTCTAATAGACCGGACTACACATGTAAAGTTCCCCAGCAGCTTTTAGTTCACACACACATAATGAAGAACAATGAGTCAAAGCAAGGACCGGCCCCAGGCACAGCACTTACTACATGAGCCCATTCTTCTTGTTTATCTGCAAGGCGGCCGTGATGGAGAGGCCCAGGACATATGGAGATGTCTATACAAGTACAGGTTTAAGTGCCATGACTTTATTTAATGGAGAATTTATAGAACGCTAGAAGTGTACGAATGTAAGAAGGTGATGAATGCAGGATATACACAGTTGTTATTTTTGAGTTTGCTTGACTTTTTGCAGATATGTAAAATAAATCGGATATTATCCATCCATCCATCCATTTTCGTCCGCTTATCCGGGGCCGGGTCGCGGGGGCAGCAGCCTAAGCAGGGACTCCCAGACTTCCTTCACCCCAGACACGTCCTCCAGCTCCTCCGGGGGGACCCCGAGGCGTTCCCAGGCCAGCCGAGAGGCCAGCGTGTCCTGGGTCTTCCCCGGGGCCTCCTCCCGGTGGGACATGCCCAGAACACCTCCCGAGGGAGGCGCCCAGAAGGCATCCGGAACAGATGCCCGAGCCACCTCAACTGGCTCCTCTCGACGTGGAGGAGCAGCGGCTCTACTCCGAGCTCCTCCCGTGTGACTGAGCTCCTCACCCTATCTCTAAGGGAGCGCCCAGCCACCCTGCGGAGGAAACCCATTTCATCCGCGATCTCGTCCTTTCGGTCACTACCCAGAGCTCATGAACATAGGTGAGAGTA